AGCATCCTACATACTGATAGGATCACAAATGTTGATAGCTTTCTACACAGAAATAACACTTAACTGCTTTTGGGTTTGTATATTCTGGTCGTGATTGGGTCGTTGTTTCTGTGACATTTTGAAAAGGTGGGAACATTTTTCTTAGGCTGTTTTTTTCCTCTTTCTTAAGCAATCAATTGATCTGTTGTCAAGTTTTCTGTGTCACCTTCGGTGTAAACCTAACAAATTGTAGCAACTAAAGAAATTTAATGCTCAAGTTTTCAAGTTAGTTTTGCACCCTTCTCTGACGTCAAGGCGAACACAAATTCTAACCGAGGAAATTGAATCGAATACTGGAGACATTCTCAGACAATTCAAGCACAAAGTGTTTCTGATTTGGTATTTTATTACCTTTTCATTCATTTTTGAAAAAGGCAAACATTCTGCAGCACGACACCTGCACGACACACGTGCAGAACGGCACACAAAAATCGCTGTGTGATATTTTTGAAAAAAATCCTCAAATACTGAAAAATTTGAATGATGGATGACTAGGACATGACGATTGTAATAGAAGACAACTACTGCTTCTAACGCTCCTCTCAAAAGAGGAACCTTACAAAATGTGACTGTTTTAGTTTTACAAAACAACTTCTATTCTGAGATCACGCACAGAACTACACTACAAAATTGAACGAATAATAAGCTGATTGTCTCTGCCATACCAAAGATATTCTTTTACTGCTACAAACCCTCTCCACATTTAAGGAGAGCTAAGTTATGGTTTTAAGGTGTGCATTACGATAAAGGCAAACATTCTGCTGCACGACGCACGTGCAGAACAACACACAAAAATCGCTGTGTGATATTTTTGAAAAAAAATCCTCAAATACTGTCAGCGCCTTAGACGCCAATACTATCGGGAATTCGTTCGGGCAACAGAAAGGTGTAAGGCAATTCCAAAGACTCATTGCGGGCCTTGATGGAATCCGAGATCTCTTGTAAAACGGTCTGGAAGCGACTCATTGCAGCATCTTCCTCGTCACCAGTCAAAAGGCTGTGTGTAATGTCGCCAATAAAACGCTATGGTAGGAAAAGATGTTTTCCTTAGTAAACTTGAAGCAAATTTGCACTTCAACACGTTGATGTTTTTACCTTTGTGAATTCGACACAATGGAACCTCTTGCAAGGGGGAACAATCATTGGTTCCGAAACAGAAAAGAGTTCTCTGTATCTTTTCAAATGCTAATTCTATTGAAAACGGCTAGTTATTTCGGGAACACACACTGTTGATTCTGTTAGTTGTTCTGCAATGGAAAGTTTTAATGCACATTGAAAAAGACGCAGGAAAGACAGGAAGGGAACCTTATCACATTCGAGGACCTTTGCAAAACCCAAGTAAGAGAGAAACCATTTCACTTACGACAGCTAGGTTTTTAAACTGGAGTCTTGACCGAATTATATACATTTTTTAGCGGTAGTCGTACAAAATAGTCTAATAGACTAAGATACAGGCTAAAATTCATGAGGCAATTCTTGTGTAAAGCTTACCTCATCCTCGGCATATCGCGTCAACACGTAAAGTAACGCTACTTGTTTAAGGGACTCACTCTTGCTTGGCAGTGTGTCAAGAATGGTCTTTAGAGACGTCTGGTTTTTCTTAGTAGGAGGCGGCTTACGCATCACGGAGGGAGTGAAGGGAATAAAGCCTGACACATCCAAAAGACCAAAGTTTACCGCTGCATGCTGACACGAGCACGTGAAGACCACGCTTGTGAGTAGGTCGATAAGTTGGTCACGTGTTTGCAAGGCACTTGGAACCTCATGGTCCTCGTCACCCTCTCTCACAGGGAGGCCGTTGTCATGTAAATCTTTAATCCATGCTTGAAGCTCCACGTCCTTAGTAACATCATCATCTGACTTGTAGTAAAGGGTGATGATGTCTTTGACGAAAGTTTTGAGGGCTGACCATAAAAGGAGCGCATCATCCCTAGGAAAAGAAAATTTAATACCTTTTATCGGGAAACAAATGGCTCGTCACATTATGCAAATCTCCAACAAATCTAAGTCAAGCAATCACCACTTACAAATAACTCTTTTCTCTAAAGTGAATGTCAAAGCCAAAAACATCACGAAAGTAATGACTAAAAGTTGTCTATCAACCAGTCTGAAGTACACTCCCCTAGAAAAGAGATTCTAACACTTTTACAACAAATTTACAACTCTCCAGCGGTTCCTTTGTCGACACGATATTTGACGGCACAAACTGCTATCAGTGCGTTTAACTAAACGAAGAGGATCTCAGCTGATTCCACTTCAAAGTTGGGATTAGCCTATGAAATATCTCAGCGTCCCACACACATCAAAATCTAAAAAATAATGCATTTAATTAGATACCAAATTTGTTAAATTTCACCGAGTCTCAGTTCTTTTTTCTCCCTTAGGTCGCATGAAATGTCTCAAATCTTGATAACCTAACTCCTTTACGGAGCTTCATACCTAACAAAATATGTTAAACCTATGAGTCCTGACTACATGTCAGTTATTGCTCTCGTAAACTTAGTCAGTTCATTTATGGGTCAGTGGGATACTCACCTGTAATAAAACTTGGGCAATTTATCTGGATCATCCAAACCTCTCTCTTTAAGCGCCTTGGGTGGGGAAAGCATGCTCATCTTGAACGTGTGGTAACTTTTCTTCAGCAATTGTTTGGAAGGTTCATTCTCTGCTAAAGCAGAATCTTTGATAAGCTTGTTGATCGCCATCACGGAGCGAAGGTGCGGGAATAAGAGTTGAAATACAGGATGAATTGAGGGTAACTGGCGCCAGACTGCCACTGCAAAGGCTTCCATTACCAAGTGGGTTTCGAGAAGATGAGTTAGTCTCTGTAAAGTGGGAGAAAAAGGTCACCTCTAAACCTAGCAGATGATCAGACAAGTATTTTGTAGTATTCATGGTTTCTGTCATTCCGTCAATTTGACAAGATAGAGGTTCGCTAATCTAATCAAATGACTTAACCCCTTGAAGTTCATTTCTTGTTAAGGTTTAATTACAATTTATTCAGGTAATCTATACTGCTATTGAGACGACGCATCTTTTTTTTTATCAATCATCGAAGTAATGTCTGGCTTTGATGGAGCAAACGACAAACCTGAAATATTTAGTCTAAATATTTAATTGACTCTTCGAATTTCCTAGGATCTTATTTCAGAACCTACCCTTTTCAGTGTTTATTTATTTATTTTCATCATCAGACCAAAAACCGTCATCAAAAGCCATATCAAAGTCATCCCTCTTTGGAGGAAAGTCAGATTTTTCCCAATGAAAAAAAATCAGCTATTCTTACAGGTCAGAAATGATTGATGAACAGGAATAATTCAGTAATGAGGTACTGAGATCTTCGAAATACCTGCTGAATCGTATTGTCAGCGTAACGAAGCCACATCTTTGCCAACAGCCAATCATATTGTAAATCACTTGGAGTCCATATTGGATTGGTGTCACCTGGTTGCTGTAGTAACTGAATGGCGATGGGCACCAAGTCACCTGATTTATCGACATAAAGCAGCCCTAAAGGTTGGGCCGAGTGATTTCCCTTTTTTTCAGGAATTCCTTCAAGCACCTTGTAATCAACAATGTACACATGACCTGCCTTATAAAAACAAGAAAACAATGTGTGAAATAATGATTGTTAGGAGGGTGGAAAAAATAAATCTCTGTTCCATCTTATAATATTTGATTCAGTTTACATTTCCCTGTCACTGGTTTGATGACTTTCGAGGATTCAGATTTTATTTTGAGATAATACATTTTAAAAAAGCTTCTTCAGTGAAGTGCAACGGAATACGATAACTTTCCATCCAGAAAAAAGATTGTTTCCATATCGTACAGGTGAAATACTTACTTATCATAAAGATTTTTCTGGACAATTTAAGAGAAGTACCTCCATCTCTTCTTGCAGTGTCTTTCCACGATCCAAAAGTGTCTTCACCATTTCTTCAGTGACTGGAAAATTACTCGGTAACTTCTCACAACGTCGGATAACGTTGGGATTAACGCCGTTTAAGAACATTGACCCGAATGCCTTGTCGGTCTTCCATCGGTCATTCTCGACGATCTTTGGTACGCTACCATCACATGCTCTGTGAAGGATCTTCTCAAAATCATCAAAATTATCCCAGCTATCAAAAAGAGAAGTCAGATAGGTAAGACCGAGGTCGACAGCCGCTTTGCGCTGGTTA